ATTCCAGGAAACATCCATGTTATCGGGGTCTATGTTTTTACTTGTATCTTTTGTTCAGAGATGATGGGAGACACTCGATTTGTCATATATTTGTGTAGTCAAATTAATGTCCCATGCTGATTGGTAGTTCAAAGTTCTGGCAAAAAACCTCAATCATATTCTTGCCATAAAATCCCTTCCCCGTAATACCAACCCCCCTAATAATAAACACCTGAAGTAGTTTCTAGTATTCGGGTGGTATTTAGTAGTATATAATATATACTTTAGTATTTGGTAATCCCATCTCCCTAATATTAACACCCCACTAGAAACCATGGTTTAGCCGGGCATTTACACATATTTGGGACCATTTACGGGGTGTTTAATATTAGGGGTCAAGGACTAATAGGGGCAAGGGATTCATCATCATTCAAAAAGCCCGTTGCTATTCCATTCATCATCCATGTCTTCAGTGTTAGTGACATATTACAATTACCCAGTATCGGCATTCCAGAATAGTCAAACGATTGCACCGGCGAGAGGCCCCAAACAGTTTGGTGGGGTAGGAAGCCAATGTACCAGATACAAGCAACAGTAGCTATGGAACAGTAACAGATGAGGTTAGACATGATCGCAGCTGCAGCAGCAGGACCTTCTAGAGGAGCTCACAGGATCTTCATACAAGGACTTCATATGAGCATCCCAGAAGAGCTTTCATACAAGCACCAATGCAGAGGATCTGGAAGATCTAATGCAAGGACCTCATGAGGGGGATTTCAACAGGATCTCCACAAGATCTTCTCACAAGGACCTGTACCAGATCATGTAAGGACGTTCTCACAAACTTCTCATGCAAGGACCTCTTAGAAAGGGTCTCACCAGGATCTCCATAAGATCTTCTGTTGAGGACCTGTACAGGATCATGCAAAGACCTCTTAGAGAGGAAGCTAGCAGGATCTCCGCAAGGGCCCGTTTCCGCGAGAATTTACAATGAAAATGCCGCAAACCCACAGCTACAGAACCCTGCTGCGAGCATGCACAGTCGAAATGCGCCTGGACATCTCGCAAAAACAATTTGAGTCGACAATTTACAGGAAAACTGCCGCGCCCCCAAAATCGGGACACTTTGTGCGAGCTTGCGCAGTCGACATTCACATGGACATTTCACAAGAGTAATTTCACGCGAGAATTTACAGGGGAAAAACCAGGGCCCAAAACTTAGGCGCACACTTTGTGACTTTGTGGAAGTTTGCGCAGTTGAAATGGACATGTACATCTCACAAGAGCAATTTTGTACGAAAATTCTCAAACAAAAAACCGGAACCCAGGATCGGGACTCTCACTTTTTGCGAGCCTATGCAGTCGAAATGAACATGGACATCTCACATGAGTAATTTTACGCGATAATTTACAGGGGAAAAACCGGGGCCCAAAACTTAGGCGCACACTCTGTGCAAGTTTGCGCAGTTGAAATGGACACGTACATCTCACAAGAGCAATTTTGTACGAAAATTCTCAAGCAAAAAAACTGGAACCCAGGATCGGGACTCTCACTTTGTGCGAGCCTGCGCAGTCGAAATGAACATGGACATCTCACAAAACCAATTTCATGCGAGAATTTGTAGGGAAAAACCAGGGCCCAAGATCGGGACGCACACTTCGCGCAAGCGTTCGCAGTCGAAATGGACATGTACATCTCACAAAAAAAATGCAGGAATTCTCAAGCAAAATTACACCACCGTAGACCCCAAACAGTGGGTGGATTCAAGAAGTGATTTGGGGAACAGGGTCAAACACATGAAATAGCAGCGACAGGAATGGTAAAAATGTCTGCAATAAGTGCCACTTTATATACATATATATATATATTTGCGTTTATTTTGTTCGGCTACGCTTGCTTTGTTGCAACGCTAAATGCCAAAAAACGATGAAGGAAACATCCGATGGGGGGTGCAACTATTTGGATCCAAACGCTCGAATCAAGCAGCATAGGACTGTCAAATTGGATGTGCTGAAAGCATCTCAATCCCGGAGCTCTGTGAACTTTACAGTCTGCGCAATTCTCGGCGTGCGATAATTTTAGCTGGGAGACTTGGGAGAGACAAGCTGGGAGACAAGCTGGGAGACAAGCTGGGAGACAAGCTGGGAGACAAGCTGGGAGACAAGCTGGGAGACAAGCTGGGAGACAAGCTGGGAGACAAGCTGGGAGACAAGCGAGACAAGGACTCGGGAAGGCGGACAAACCATCCAACACAGGGTAACAAGAAGGGAGACAATGGGAGACAAGGGGGAAGGCGGACACACCATCCAACAAAGGGAAACAAGAAGGGAGACAGGCCTCGGGAAGGCGGACACACCATCCAACAAAGGGAAACAAAAACAAAGACAAGCTGGGAGACAAGCTGGTAAGCGAGGCAAGGGAGACAAGACCTCGGGAAGGCGGACGCACCATCCAACACAGGCACACATGTGGGCAGACAAGGGGAGGCAAGACCTCGGGAAGAGGGACACACCATCCAAAACAGGCGCACATGTAGGGCGACAGTGGGAGACAAGGGGAGACAAGGGGAGACAAGACCCTCGTGAAGGCGGACACACCATCCAACACAGGCACACATGTGGGGAGACAGCGGGAGACGAGCAAAGACAAGACCCTCGAGAAGGCGGTCACACCATCCAACACAGGCACGCATGTGGGAAGACAATGGGAGACCGGGGGGAGCAAGGGGAGACAAGACCTAGGGAAGGCGGACACACCATCCAACACAGGCGCACATGTGGGGAGACAGTGGGAGACAAGAGGAGACAAGGGGAGACAAGACTCTCGGGAAGGCGGACACACCATCCAACACAGGCACACATGTGGGGAGACAGGGGGAGACAGTGGGAGACAAGAGGAGACAAGGGGAGACAAGACTCTCGGGGAGGCGGACACACCATCCAACACAGGCACACATCTGCGGAGACAGTGGGAGACAGTGGGAGACAAGAGGAGACAAGGGGAGACAAGACTCTCGGGAAGGCGGACACACCATCCAACACAGGCACACATGTGGGGAGACAGTGGGAGACAAGGGGGGTCAAGGGGAGACAAGGGGAGACAAGAACCTCGGGAAGGCACCATCCAACACAGGCACACATGTGGGGAGACAGTGGGAGACAAGGGGAGTCAAGGGGAGACAAGACCCTCGGAAGGCGGACACACCATCCAACACAGGCACACATGTTGGAAAAAAGTGGGAGACAGTGGGAGACAGGGGGGGACAAGACCCTCGGGAAGGCGGACACACCATCCAACACAGGCACACATGCAGGGAGACAATGGGAGACAAGGGGGGACAAGGGGAGACAAGACCCTCGGGAAGGCGGACGCACCATCCAACACAGGCACACATGTGGGGAGACAGTGGGAGACAAGGGGAGAAGGGGAGACAAGACCCTCGTGAAGGCGGATAAACCATCCAACACAGGCACACATGCGGGGAGACAAGGGGAGACAACGGGAGACAAGACCCTCGGGAAGGCGGACACACCATCCAACACAGGCACACATGTGGGGAGACAAGGGGAGACAAGGGGAGACAAGGGGAGACAAAGGGAGACAAAGGCAGACAAGACCCTCGGGAAGGCGGACACACCATCCAACACAGGCACACATGTGTGGAGACAGCGGGAGACAAGCGGAGACAAGGGGAGACAAGACCCCTGGGAAGGCGGACACACCATCCAACACAGGCGCACATGTGGGGAGACTGTGGGAGACAAGGGGGGTCAAGGGGAGACAAGGGGAGACAAGACCCTCGGGAAGGTGGACACACCATCCAACACAGGCACACATGTGGGGAGACAGTGGGAGACAAGCGGAGACAAGGGGAGACAAGACCCTCGGGAAGGCGGACACACCATCCAACACAGGCACACATGTGTGGAGACAGGGGGAGACAAGGGGAGACACGGGGAGACAAGACCCCCGGGAAGGCGGACACACCATCCAACACAGGCACACATGTGGGGAGACAGTGGGAGACAAGGGGAGACAAGACCCCGGAGACACCATCCAACACAGGCGCACATGTGGGGAGACAGTGGGAGACAAGGGGAGACAGGGGGAGACAAGGTGAGACAAGGGGAGACAAGACTCGGGAAGGCGGACACACCATCCAACACAGGCACACATGTGGGGAGACAGTGGGAGACAGTGGGAGACAAGAGGAGACAAGGGGAGACAAGACTCTCGGGGAGGCGGACACACCATCCAACACAGGCACACATCTGCGGAGACAGTGGGAGACAGTGGGAGACAAGGGGAGACAAGGGGAGACAAGACCCTCGGGAAGGCGGACACACCATCCAACACCAAGGCGGACACCTTAGAAAGCATTAAGAACCGCTAACAGTACTGTTTGGGGAAGAACGGGGCCCAAAACTTAGGCGCACACTGTGTGCAAGCCTGCGCAGTCGAAATGCATATGGATATCGCACAAAACCACTTTTATGTGAACATTTACAGCAAAGATGCCACGCCCCGAAGAGTGTGCCCTGATCTAGCCCCGGCCCCGGCCTTATTACTTGCCGTAAGAACCCTTACATACCCCATGATGTCCCCAACGTCCGCCACCTCAGAGGTCGACTTCAACGCCCGAACGGACGTAGTGGACGTAGTGGCGGCACCAATGCAACAGGCCAGACAAAAAAAACGTCAGCAGGGACAACAACTGGTGGTTTTTCATAGGGCCTAGGGATTTCACCAAAAGAAATGGGACATTTATATGGATTTATGGTGACTTATGCGGATTTCACCAAGAATCAGGATTATTCCGACGCATCGTAGGAAATTCAAAGCCGTTTTTTCTTGTTTCGCTGCACTTTTTGAGTGCCCTCAGCAAAACCAATATATAAACGTGGAAAACCCACCATGAATGTAGATCATCTTCCAGGAAAACCCATGGTTTCACTAGTTTATCACTATAGGTGAGTTCCATTTCAGTTTCTTTCGATTAATGAACATTGTGGCAGTTTTCATGGGACTCTTTGTCAAACAGCTACTGTTTTTGAACAGGGCGTCTGAGATTGGCCACGGGGTTGTTGGCGGATTGAATTGGCCACAAGTGATTGTTTGGAAATGGCTGCGACATTTTTTGGAAGGGACAAAAGCTGACACACTCACTCCAGGTGTGACGCTGAGGACAGCGCACACAGCGCGAACCGCGCGCACGGGGCGCACGGCGCAGACCGGCAATACGCTCCTCAGTCGCATCACGAACTTGAAGGACTCCGACAACTTTCAATACCACCCGGCAGCCATGGCCGCGCTGGAACCTCGAGTAGCGCAAAGATCTGGGCTGTCGAGTGGTGAAGTAGAGGAAGCAGAGAGCATACCGAAAGATACCATTCTTCCAGCTTTGATGATAAGCCTTTGCTGCTTTAACAACACGGTTTTCTGGCTTTCATCTCTCCTAAGTTTTCCACACTTTGCGTCTTTACTCGTGACGAAAACACCGAATTGACTATTGCAATATCTCTAGGAGGGGTGGGTGCCAGCGGCTCAATCGCGCACCAGGTTTGCAACATCATGGAGGTTGGGATATTTGTCCTTTTTTTCAAGGAGTACCACGGATGGAACTCTGCGATGGCTATCGGTTTGGCTCAATCGGCCGGAGATTTGTCGGCGGCTTTTGTCATGAAACTCCTTCCAAGTGGTTCCAGTGATGGCACATCAGAAGTGGGATTCTGTCGCCGCATTTTCATGCGGCCCTACAATCTCTCCTGGTTGGTGCTGTTTTGGATGCTGAGACAGATGGCATGTCTTTTGTAAGCTTTTTGACCCCGTCGTTGGTGAGGGGAAGGGCACAAAACGGATTGGCTCCAAGTATCCCAGCGCTTTTGCTCGCGTTTCTCTTGCGACCCTCCGGCCACTAAGGGCACTCTGGCAATGGCAAGCCCCTGGCTGGTGGCAGCGGTTACAGCGCAAGTGCTGATGGGTTCCCTCTTTGTTTACAGTTTGAAATTCACCACCGACTTAAGCCTTTTCTATTCCTTGGGCGACAACGGAGTTCTCCTTACGATACAGGTCTGGTGCAAGACTGCCCACAACGCTGGGGCTTGTTTCTCCAGCGTTTTGGGCCCTTTGATCTATCTCGAGGCGGCTGGAAAACCATTCTGAGACCAAGCGGGGCTATCATCATCATCCTTCCCATAGTTGGCATTTGGGGACCCGCATAGGTTAAGTCACAATTTGGAAGCAGCATTGAACTTGTCGGGCAGGGCACCTGGAAATGTCTTGTTCTTGATGCCGAACTCTCTTCCGAAATTTCTTTATTATGAATTTCCTCCTCTTGAACTCTGTTTCTCTTGAAATCTCTTGACATCTCTCGCTCTTGACTCTTTCTCTGGACATCTCTTTCCCTTGACATCCGGTTCACTTGACATCTCCTTCTCTTGCGATTCTTTTCTTTTAGATTCTTTGTTGACCTCTCTTTCTCTTGACATCTTCTTTCTCTTGCCCAGAACACCGTGACAGTGACGCAGCAAAATTGGACTGCTCTGAGCAAGTGCTGGATTGCAAAGCGCCATAATACGAGCGCACAGCAACACATAGAAATCAATCTTGGCGCAGCAACTCAACTTTTTAACTCGCATGCCTGGTTCGGAAACTATCCCCACATCTCCACTATCGCATCACCTTCCCCTCAAAGAAAGTCATTCTACTGGTATTGTCGCTATCAATTTTCACCATTCTTGAACTGCCATTCTTACACCACTCCCATCCCGACTCCACCCCAGATGTCACCTGTGGCTCCCTTCCTGGTGGCTGGCAGCGTCTCCGCTACGACCTTCGTGGTCTTCAGCGCCTTCTTCGCCTTCCGCGTGGGGCTGCTGAACATGGAAAGCGCCGAGGAACAACGCGCACAGCACAAGGGGATCAAGCGCGTCTCTGCGTGGCGGTCACGTGGATGCAACGGATGCAACGGGGGATGGTGGAGGTGGATGGATGGATGATTTTAACGTCAAGAAATGTGGCTTTCACCAGCCATGATGGGGGTTGATGTTGATGTATCCAGGTAAATTGGAGCGACGATGCAAAAATGCGGAAAAACACTGCAATGGGATGTGAATAGGGAACTAACGTGAACTAACCGTCAACACATCCAGGTGGATTTTTCCGATCTGGACGACCTTGCCAGGTAAATGAGAATCGAGGGGGTTGCTCCAACCTATACTGTAGCTAAACTTATTGCCACAAGGGGGAGCATGTGTTATTTTATTTGGCCACCTCCCTAGTGTCTGGGGTGTTGGGAGCAACCCTGTTTCTTATCATTTGTGAATTGTAGGAATCTGCCCAGATGCGGATTGGATTTGGATGTGAAGATTGACGTTTGAACATCTGAGGATCAAACCAACCATTCGATGGCGATACTTCAGGGGATTAATGACTGAAAACCGTCGCAGGAACTAATTTTGATCTATCATTTTTAATTAAAATGAAGGTGGATTCATGTGTGACTGTGAGCACTTGTGATCCAAACTTTGTGACCTACTCCTCAAATAAAGTAGTTGAGCTCATCCGTTCCTGCCATGGTTAAAGTAGGAGCTATTCGGTACTGCTTGGTCAAGAATAGTGAAGGTTCTCGACGGGTTGCTGGTCGAGTGGTAGAAGTCACTTCAGAAACTGTGGTGTTGAGTGGCCAGCCTGGTGATTTTGAGGGTGTCCCCAATGCTCATACTGTTCCCAGCCAGACCGGAAGTGATAGCCTTAGCTTTTTGAGTGTTCCAGCTGGGGTTGTCACTGCTCAGCTTCCTAGTGGGTGGAAGAAGCCACTTGATTTGCCAAGTGCCGCGGCATGCAGCGGGATGTGGGAGAGCCTCGGAGGAGGCGAAGTGGTCAGCAGCCAGGCAGAGCGCCCCTTAGTGAAGCCAGCAGCAGTTCGGAAGACCCCTGTAGCCGAAGATCTGGATTTTTCAAGCCTAATCCATCTTTTTGGTTTTCTGGCATCGAGGAGTCGAGGAGGAGGAAGATGCCAGCAGCGACGAGTCGGAGGCGGAGGTGACCAGAGGTTGTGGGCAAAGCAAAGGGTTTCTTCGACCCGGAGGAAACTCCGGCGCCTCGTCTGTGCATGCCTACATGCGTTCCGGAGGTGAGTGCATGTACAGTGGCGAGTCAGCGCATGTGTTGTGTCGAGCACTTTGCACACACCGTGTCAAACACGTTGCCATGGATTTGCTTTTTCATTTCACTGCTATGTGGATTCATTTGTCCTGCTATGCCCGTGGGCGATCACAAAGCTGACTTACCGTTTCACGCAATTTTCAAGGACATCTGTCAGATTTCGGTCTTTTCTTTGCTCCTTCAACTGATCCAGGTTTGCTGCCAATTTTTGGCAGATCGTTTGCTTGCCATATTTTCAAACAAGAGATACAGATTTTTGCATTGTCATTTTGTCAAGAAGCGACGATACGGACTGCATAGACGCAAACATGCCAGACGTCAATTTGACAAGAAGCGTTCGCAAAGGTTTGGCAAGCAATTCCTGCTTGTTTTGCTGATGGTCGCTCTCCCTTTTTAGAACGTGTCCGCCCCTTTTTGTAGCAAGCAAGACAAAGAGCAGATTCGTCGTTTTCTCTCGAGACAGGTCAAATGAATCACCCGCAATATGTCATTTTGTTTTCCCGCATGCGAGAAATGGAAACACTCACAGCCAATTTGCAGCCTCCTCCTCCAAAGGGAGAGGAAAGACCAAGACCAAAGGACAACAAACTCAAGCAGATGCCGTTCTCTCACCGGAAATTCAACAAGAGATGTTTCGCAATGCCATCAAAGACGCTATGCCAGAAGCAGCAAAGCGCAGACTGGAGCCACAGGTAGTCCCTGCAGAGTGCAAGTCGCCTGTGTTGCATCATTCTGAAATGACCAGTGCGGGAGGAATTTGCATTGCATCAAAACAATGCATTCCTGATTTGCTTCGGCAAATTGGGTACACCCAAGCTCCGACGTACTGCCATGTTGTGCACGCAACACCCGCAAGAATTGGGACTACCTGGCTATCCTGTGCAGGAGCTGACATGGACCTTTCAAGTGAGAGAAGATGATGGAGCCGAAAAAAGCATCTTCGTTCGAGGACATCTTGTTCAACTCGGCTTTGGCAAACCCGTCATGTCGCTGGCGATTTGGTTAACATTCCTACCCACATGCACAAGATTGTCGTCAAGCTTCCCTTTTTATTTGGATTGAGACCTGAAGCATGCAATTCCCGAACGATTGCAAAGTTTCGGGAGCAACATATTCCAGCTCCTGCATATGAGAACATCACCGTTCGTCAAGACCAATCGGCAACAGTTTTTGCGCACGAGAGCGAAATTGAAACACTGTTGCGAGCGAGTGGACTCGAAGCCGTTTTTCTGAAACTTCATGAAACATCCAGCCTACTGCCTGATGCAGACACCCTTTGGATGCCTCCTGAATTTACATTGGATGATGCCAGTCAGCTGGCGCAAAGTGATGACACCACACTTGGAGTTGTCTCAAAGAATAGCAAGGTGAACCCTCGCTTCGCAATCCGATTCTCTGACCAAACCAAACTTCAACATTTGGCAAAAACAAACCACATCGAGGATTTGCCACCTTACAGCACAGATGGCGTTTGACTGGGTCGCCAGTTCAAGCGGGTGCAATTGGCGCGCTACAGCTGTTGGATTCCAGAGGCTGGGAGGTGAAGGAAATTCTTTTCTTCGGCCAATCACAATGCAACTTCCTAGCATCAAAGCGAGGACACACAGCTGATATGCATTTTGTTGCAGACACTGGTGCAAAGCATCCACTGCAACTCAAAGCAGTAAATGCCAAAGCCAAGGAAGCACAAGCTGCGGAAAACAAAGCCGCAGCAGCTAGAGGTCAACCAAAGATTCAGTCTACCAGACCTGAATATGTACAGCAGAAAGACACCTGGCTACGTGGAATTGCAGCCAAAAGCAACTTGCAGCAACCAGCCTCACCCCGCAGAACACCGAATGATGATTCAAACAAGCGTAATTCTGATGGGAAGACGGGCAACACGCCTGAGCAAGCTAAGCAACGGACTGCTTAGTTCTTGCAGCTCTTCTCAGTGCAGTCATTTGGTGCATCCCTCAGAAGAAAAGAAATCAGCTCCAGCATGCTACCCATGGCGTTCACGTGCAGAACCAGTTGCATCGTGCATTGGAACACTGTTGCCAATAATATTCCTTCTTTTCCCCTGACCCAAGTGAACTTCATCTTACAAGTGTCACCATATGTTTGAGACGCAGCAGTTCTTGGCAAACCAGCACGATGTGGACATTAGCTCGCAAGATGAGAAACAAACTTGCGCACAGTTGGCATGGTAATAAGTCAAAATCATGGAAGCAAAAGCACAAGGCAGATGCACATGTAAAGATCTCAGTCGGCACTTTGAATCCAAGTGGGCTGAGTGACGTTACGAAACTACAAGCTTTACATGAGCTGGACCTTGATGTCCTTGGTATTGCTAAAACGCATCTTGGTAACCATATGCACAGGGCTTTTGCTGAACAGTACTCACAATATTCTTGCAGTTTTTCTCTAGACCCTAAAGAAAAAGCTTATTCTGGTGTTGCACTTTTATTGAAACACGAGTGTTTTTGGCAGGTTCAAAACATTCAATGGCCATCAGACAACCCATGTTTCAAATTTGCCAACGAAGGACGGCTTGTTGCAGTACAAGCTTGGTATGGACATGGAGGCAATAGCATATTATTCTTTTGCGCATATGCACCAAGTGGATCCAGGTGGGAAAAACCGAAACGTGCAGCTCTGCATCAACTTTTGGGTGCTGTCATTGCTGACACAGTTGCCAGAGGACAATTGCCCGCAGTATTGCTTGGTGATTCAAATATGCCAATTCATGAAATTTCCAAGATGCAACAAATTTTGCGAGACCAGGTTTTCATGGACCTCAGAAACATAGCTGATTTTGACATGAAACAAGCTCCCACCTGTTATCATGGTCCAAACGGTGGTTCTTGTATTGATTACATATTGTCAACACCTTGCCTGTATGATTCTTTCTCGCAATTCGAAGTTCGCAAGGTTCAGCCTTTCAAAGATCATGGTTTGGTCTCCGTCAAATTGCTCGTGCCAGCGCCTGTACAGACACGTCTATGTTTGAAGAAGCCAGTCTCACTTCCGACACTCCAAAGTCCATGTGCCGGTCAAGGTCCTTTGAAGTGTAACATTGACGGCAACTTCAAGCAAAAACTGCAGCTTGGACAAATCGATGAAGCTTACAGTGTGCTCACTCATGAAATGGACAGATTGTTGCATGAAATTTCCAAAGTTCAAGGTCATGACATACCCGCACACGGAGTTCGTCGTGGCCAGATAAAATTTCAACCGCAGAGCCATCGGCGCGCATGCCAGCACAATGTACAGTCGCAAACTTTTTCGAGCCAGCAATCAAGCTAAGGAAGTCTTGCGCGCTTCTCCAGGATATCGCAGGGATCAAACTTGGGCAGCCATCCCCGACACACTTCGTTTACTACCAACAGATCAATTTTCCACATTGAATGTCATTTTGTCGCGACCTGCATCTAACGGTGATGCGCAACAAATGATTGACAGCCTTACTCAATTCTCCACGAAACTGTGAATAATGACAAGCGGCAACGCATCCTTAAATGGAAGCAGAGGTTGTGATCCAGTGATGCTCAACAACTTCACTGGCTCGAAAACCGATCAAAACGTAAGCCTATTGCCATTACAGTCGTTTCTGGCCAACCTACTGCCAATTCGCATGCACGCTTGGATGCCATTTCACAGGTATGGCAAAATATCTACAGCCTTCACAAAAAGGGCGAACCGTCAGCTCATGCCTTTTTCCAAAAATATGGTGAGCACATTCAGCGAAGCCTTTCCAATCTACCACCTATCAATGCCCATCAAATTATCACTAAGCTCAAGAAAATCAGACCTTCATCCCCTGGTATGGACCATGTCGCGCCACTCTATCTTAAGCATCTCGCAGAATGGGCGCCTGACTTATTCAATCACGTTGCTGATTTGTTCAGTTATATTGAAAATACTGGCACGCGGCCTTCGCTGCTTCCAATGGGTGCGGTATCATTTCTGCCAAAAAACTGATGAACCATCTCCGTCGGCGCAAGACGACCATTGACCATTTTAAGTGCAATTTAGCGACTCTATGCCACAATTCAACATAATGACTTGTGCGCAGAATGGTTGCCTAAGTGGAAGTCGACTTGTGCTTATGGGTTAAAACAATCTCATGCAGTCGATGCATTAGCTTTTCACACTTGTTTGGAAATGGTTGAGTATTCCAAAGAGAGTTTCCTCACGGCTGGCATCAGTTATGACATGAAGAAATGTTTTGATTCCATACCGAAGGAGTTAATCTTGGCCATATTTAACTTTCGTGGTGCAGATGGTAAAGTCACAAAAGCTTTGACCGGTTTCTATCGTCAGCATACAAAGCACTTTCGTATTGATGGAGCTTATGACATTTCATTCAACGGCATCGTTCAAGCATGTCCAGTTTCGATGTTACTTTTGACATCTTTAATTTGTACTTGGAGTGAGTATTGCGTGGCTCAATCCATTCAGGCAACCCCACGATCATATGCAGACGATCTATCCATTTGCACTCGAGCGCGCGCCAAGCAAGAGCTGATTACCACCACACAAAAAGCTCATGAAGTCACTGCAGAGTTTGTGAAACTTTCTGGAATGCAGTTAAACGAGCGGAAATGTTTCACTTTCTCGGTCACAAGGCTGTCTCGGCATCCTTGCCACAGATAGACTCGCATAAGACGCAATTTCGCTTGGTTGGAGCTAGTATCAAGCTCGACAAAAAGCCTATGTGGACGGCCTTGGAACGGGAACGCCGAAGCAACTGGCAATCCACTGTCGATAACATTGCAAACATTCCAACCGGATGGTTCAGCAAAGTTATATAAGATATTGAAGTCCACCATGGGAAAGCTTACTTTCGGACAAGGCACTCATACGTTGAGTCTTGGCAAAGATGACAAAAGAAGTTTAAGAGCCAGTGTGATTCGATGTCTACTCAGTCAGCTTTTCTATGATTCATCCCCTACCATTATTTTCACTCTTCTTGCTCCGCCTGCTGTTGATCCAGAATTTGCAATGCATTTTTCAGCATTTTCTTTGATTCGACGCAGTTATGCCAGAAGGTCACTGCGTATAATCACTATAAAGACATAGACGGTCCAATTGCTCGGATTCGCCAGATGCTTGACCACCCAGCTTTTAAAAACACCATACACAAATTTCTTAATAATCAGCTGGAAGAGCACAAATGGCAGCATGAACTGCGAGAGGACTATCGTCAGGTAGGATGGAAGACACTGTCGGCTGACCGTGGCCAGCATTTTCGAGGTGTTGAGCATGGTGTACAAAGACAATTGACCACTTCGCTGATTGATTTTCTTGCCAAAGAAGCTGAGGACATTCAAAGACAGATTGATAATAATTTGTTGGCAGAAGTAGACCCAAAAACCGATCCTCGGCCTCGTTTGAAGATTCTGCGACAGCTCCTTAGTGCAGGATTGCAAACACCGGAAAGAGATCATAGACATCGTAAGCAACCTGGCACAGTGACATGTGCCTGCGGTCGTGGATCACCAACCATTTTCCATCTATCATGGGAATGTTCACTTTCCCAACAACTCAGAGAACCCATGATGCAAGTATTACCAGCGCCACTGCATGCACTCCCAAAGTGGTTTCAAATTACCACCATTGTTCCTAATACTATGACTTTTTCGAAAGCTGACCTTCATTTCATTCAAAACACATTAATCTCCATTTGGCAGAAGCATATTGAAGAATGGTATGGTAAAGGTGAAGACACACCCCAAGCTACTGTGGAACATGTTCCTGACAGGAACGCCGACCATGCCCAGAACGAAAATTTGCCCACTGCAAATCCTTCAGCTCATCCCGCACCTAAGCGTGGGCATATTCTGAATCTAATTCCTTCTGGCGGAGTGTTTTGCTGCCGCTGTGGTTTGCAAACCAAAATTACCCAGCACCAGAGACTCAAATTTTTAAGTAAAGCCTGTGCATTCCTTGATCTCCCCGAAGATCAATGGCTTTCATCACCAGGCGCTGTGAACTCGAACCCTCGAATCCTCGCTGCGGAAAAGCAGCTACAGGAAAAACACAGCTAGACGACGGATGGCCCGAGAGCGTAGAGGAGCAGAGTCTTCTGTTGTTAGTATGGAGACACTATATTACAAGACAATATAGTAAAGATGTATTATAGGCAGACGAGACGAGTAGTATCAAGACAGTATATTACAAGTATAAGACAGCAGTTTGCATCGTATCCTTCCTATAGTTTTTCACACACACAAAACTTTTTACAGACAGACGCTTTTGCACACAGAAGCTTTTACACACAGAGACTTTGACACAAAAACGCTTTTACACACAGACGCTTTTACACACAGAAGCTTTTACACACAGAGGCTTTTACACACAGACGCGTTTACACACAGAAGCGTTTACACACAGAAGCGTTTACACACAGACGCTTTTACACACAGACGCTTTTACACACAGACGCTTTTACACACAGACGCTTTTACACACAGACGCTTTTACACACAGACGCTTTTACACACAGACGCTTTTACACACAGACTTTTACACACAGACACGTTAAATAGCAAATTTACTTCAGTTTTTGGCGATCGAACCTCATTTTGTGCGAAAGGGTTGCCGCGGAAATTGTAAAATCGCAATTTAAGTTCAGTTTTTGGCGATCGAACCTCATTTCGTGCCAAAGGGTTGCCGCGGAAGTTATTAAATTGCAATTTGACTTCAGTTTTTGGCGATCGAACCTCATTTCGTGCGAAAGGGTTGCCGCGGAAGTTGTAAAATCGCGATTTGACTTCGGTTTTTGGCGATGGAACTTCATTTCGTGCGAAGGGGTTGCCGCGGAAGTTGTAAAATCGCGATTTGACTTCAGTTTTTGGCGATCGAACTTCATTTCGTGCGAAAGGGTTGCCGTGGAAGTTGTAAAATCGCAATTTGACTTCAGTTTTTGGCGATCGAACCTCATTTCGTGCGAAAGGGTTGCCGCGGAAGTTGTAAAATCGCGATTTGACTTCAGTTTTTGGCGATCGAACTTCATTTCGTGCGAAAGGGTTGCCGTGGAAGTTGTAAAATCGCAATTTGACTTCAGTTTTTGGCGATCGAACCTCATTTGCGAAAGGGTTGCCGCGGAAGTTGTAAAATCGCAATTTGACTTCAGTTTTTGGCGATCGAACCTCATTTCGTGCGAAAGGGTTGCCGCGGAAGTTGTAAAATCGCAATTTGACTTCAGTTTTTGGCGATCGAACCTCATTTCGTGCGAAAGGGTTGCGTTTCGTGCCGTCTCGTTGGCACTGCCCCACGCCTTCAAGAGAGAAATAGAAAAGAAGGAAAGAGCAAGAGGGCAAGAGAGCAAGAGGGCAAGAGAGAATGTGAAGATGTGAAGATGTAAGATGTGATGTGAAGATGTGAAGATGTGAGGATGTGAAGATGAGCAGATGTGAAGATGAGAAGATGTGAAGATGAGCAGATGTGAAGATGAGAAGATGTGCAGATGTGAAGATGAGAAGATGTGAAGATGTGAGGATGTGAAGATGTGAGGATGTGAGGATGAGAAGATGTGAAGATATGAGGATGTGAGGATGAGAAGATGTGAAGATGTGAGGATGTGAAGATGAAGATGTGAAGATGTGAGGAGTGAGAAGATGTGAAGATGTGAGCATGAGAAGATGTGAAGATGCGAGGATATGAAGATGAGAAGATGTGAGGAGTGAGAAGATGTGAAGATGTGAGGATGTGAAGATGGGAAGATGAGAGGATGTGAAGATGAGAGGATGTGAAAATGAGAAGATGTGAAGATGAGAAGATGTGAAGATGAGCAGATGTAAAGATGAGAAGATGTGAAGATGTGAGGATGTGAAGATGTGAAAATGTTTGTCAGATCCCCACTATTAGAAGAACCCTTCGCTCAGACGCTCTCGGGAATAAAGGAAATCACTCTTTCATTTGCAACATTTGCAACAGATTTTCTTTGGCAAAGAGAAAGGCAAAGCAAGTTTTGGAATGATTTGGTGTACTCGTTGCGGCCGGCAATGGCCTTGGAAAGACCGTGGTAACAACATGTCTAGCCCACCTGATTGGGTTTTAAATCTTTCCCAGTATCAGCGTTCAGATTCCTCAAGCAATTCAAATAGTATCACTGAACGCAGCAATCCAGTAACCACGAGGCGTCTTGGTGGAAAACAATCCATTTCGTCCAATTTACAATCATCAGAACTTCGCAAAACGCGCCAGGCACTGCATCCAGCAGCTCTGGCATTCATTTTCGAGTTGAACGTGTGTGTGCTCTGGGAGTGAAGCCGCGGAATGCGACTTTGCTCCTTCAAGCCACAACTACTTCTTAGACCCGGAGCCAAGTGGAGACTGGAGGCAAGGAAAGGGGAAAGAGCGGAAAGTCCAGCTCGAGGCGGGGAGACTTGATGGCAAGGGTGCTAGAAAAGGGTCTTTCTCAGAGCCAGCCCCCTTCAGAAATGCTTCCGTACATGATGCTGGAACAGCAACAGGCGAAGAGCAAGAAGAAAAAGAAGTCCAAGGACGACGGCCGGTCAGACAGTTGGTCTGCCCCTGGTGGTTCTTCTTCGTCCGAAGATACGGACGACGACGATGAAGACCTTCGAGAGAGCTCGGGCATGACGGCAGTGGCGAACCTCAACCGCATGCACAAGCGCGTGAAGCGACACCTGGGCGGAATTCGAGCAAGAAGTGGTGGAGGAGATGGGTGTGATCGAAGGCCAATCTTAGACCTTGAGAGATTGGTTGAAGCGCCGGCAGTGGGTCAAAATTCAAAGGGATCTACAGGTGCGCGGTCAGCTGGTGCAGAATTTGAAGGCAGAGATTCAAAGGCAGGGATCCAATCAATGATTCAAGGAGGAGATTGGAGCAGCGCTTGGCTGTTGACCGGGATCCCGGATCCGTTGCTCGGAAGGAGTTCGGAGGGACCCAGGAGGAGCTGGCTGTGGTTTCCGGCTATATCAATGCTTTGAGCAAGTTGCGCAAGAAGGTGAAGGAGTCCAGTCAAAGTCATGCCCTCGACGGGGAAGTGGAGGAGGGCAACTCCAAAAAGTAGCTGGCCGAAGATCGCCTATGCGTGTGGGAGGAGCAGTTTGTCTAGACCCCTGCCTTCCTGGTTTGAATTCGGTTGACTCTAAGTTCATGGCTTTTTATAACTGGCTATGTGGCACCAATGGTGTGATGTCGTCGAATGCCGACGGTTCTAGCTCACTTTTTCCCTGCGATCTTCTTGTGGGAGTGCAGTCGTGGACGATGAGGGGAACCGTCCCTGGGCTATGGAGGCTGCCCAGATTGCCGAGGTAGGCCGTGGGAGCCGCCAACTGCTGTTCAGGGCCGGGATGTTGCCCGGCGATTTGCTGACCGGTTGTTGGGCGAGGTCGAGGAACTTGCTTCCTTCGAGATGATCAATGGCACTTCGTTCTTTGAGGGAAGCCAACATGCGGTGCAGCAAGCGCTGCACCATGTCTCTTGTACAGCTGCAGGGTATGTAGGAGGCATGGCTGAAGATTCTCTGAGCTGCGCCCTCCCAGTGAGAGCTGAGCGCATGGCTATCCCAGAGCATGCTGGCATGGTTGACCCTCTTCTCCTGTTACGGGAAGGTCGACGGGAAGTGTTGGCGAATATGGTGGCGTTGCGGCGACCTGAGCATTTGTGAGAGCCTATGTTGTAAGCCTTTTAATGTGCCTGAAGATTTGCAAAAGTTGTTGGAACACAAAATGGTTCAGTCAGTCCCCGAAAAGGAATTGCTTCATGACCTCGAGGGACGAGTCCATCCCGAGAGACTTTCCTGTGTGCCTAAAAACCAGGGTCAAGATCGGTTGATATACGACCGACGACCTGAGAACTCCACAATGGAGAGGATCTCGTGGGCTAAATTGCCCTCGGGGGCTTGTTTTTGCAAGATGCTTCTCAAGTCTAATGAGTTCCTTCGAGGTTCAGGCGAAGACTGTCGGAACTACTATTATATACTCTGGCTTTACCCCCTGGTTGGGTTCGGTTCAATGCTGTTGGAAGACGGGTGGGTCCGAAAATCGCATCTTCCCACCGATTAGACCCCCATGTACCTCATCGCACCTGCCTGCGCGTCCTTGGACTGGGTGATCGCAATGCGCGCGACATTGCGCAAGCCGTGCATGAAGCATTGCCACAGCGATCTGGGCTCAGTGTTTAGTGACGCAACGGTGTGTGCACTCTTCTGTGATAAGCCCGGAGTTTGTTCCTCCCGCGCCTGGTCCAGGTGATGTGGTTATGCGGCCCTGAGACGACAGGTTTGGTGTCTTACCTAACGGATGGTCAAGCCTGGTTTTGCCACACAGCATCCCTTACAGAAGTTATTGGGATTTATTTGCTTCATATTTCAATATCGGCGTGAGTTGTTTTCCCTACAGCATCACATTTACAAATATGTGCAGAGTATGCCCAACAGGCGATGGGTGAAGCTCCCTGGCTTTGTGCGAGATGAGTTGAGAAGTATGGCTTTTTACATGGCTTTTGCAGTGACTGATACGAGAAGATCCCTTCATGCTTCCCTTTTAGCTACTGATCCCACGCCCGCTTCAGGTGGCAGCACTCGAGCAACAGCTCCTGCGGAGGTGGTGGAAAAGCTTTGGCATATGTCTGATGCCCGAGGTGAGTATGTCCGCTTGGATGAAACAGACCTCATGCGTGCTTTGTCTGAATGGGAGGTGCCGCGGGAGCCTTTAGAGATGGCAAGCATTTTGGGGCGGTGTTTGGATTGGAAGACCACTAGCTATTATTCTTTTAGGGAGAGTGGTCACATCAACCTTCAGGAGGCAAGAGCCCTCCGGCGTGAGTTGAAAAACTTTGCATCTGATTTCAACAACGGAGAGAAGATTCAGTTGGCATTGAATGACTCGCGGGTGGTGATTGGTGCATGTGGCAAGGATCGGTCCAGCTCATTCAAACTCAATGGTATTCTAAGAGGTTTGTTGCCGCATTTGGTATTAGGCTGTGGAGTTTTGCGTTGGCGTGGATTGAGACGGGGGCGAATCCTGCTGACCACCTATAATCGTTTTCGTGAACTTCCTCCTCCTCTCAGCATGCCTCCCGGGTTAAAGAAGATGGTGGATTCCGGTGGTAGGTGTCGTTTTGGTCGGGAAATTTTTGCGGGCGCAGGCAAGCTTACAGCAGCACATGTGGCTTTGGGTGTTCCAATTCAATGCTGTCTCCTGTTGAGTTGGCGGATAGTTTGGATGCTATGGGTGAGTTGGTTGAAGAGCGTATATGGTCGGTGATGTGGCATGGGTTTGGTTAGCTCCTCCATGTGCAAGTTTTACAGTAGCCCCTTGCGAAACCTTGATCGTGGTGGTCCCCTGCGTCCCCATGGTTGCCCACAAGGTAATGAGACTACCCCTGAGGTACTTCTAGGCAATACTCTCTGGATTTGGCTGGGTTGTGTCATAGCATGGGTATCCCATTGTTCATGGAACACCCTCTTCTCAGCAAGGCGTGGCAAATGGTGGAAACGCAACAATTGCAAAGCAAAGTAGGTGTGTTTTTCTGAGGTGGCACGCTGGTGCATGTATGCTGACGTTGACCGTAAAGGGCTTCCGTGTAAGAAAGCAACTCGGCTGCTTGGCTCAGGTGCATGGTTGAGGGATGTAGTGCGAAAGTGTGATGGTGGCCACTCACATGGGAAACCGTTGAGAGGTCAGCGTGTCAAGGCGGCTGGTGCTTACCTCTCTGAGTTCTGTGACTTGTTGGCGCCTGCTTACAAAAGCTCTTGTATGACTGCAGGGCTGTCAGTGGCTAGCGGCTACCTGGCTGGTGGAGTTTGCTGCAAGCATAGGGTTCCGCTTTAGCAGGCAACAGAATGCGAGGGTCAGCTAGCAGTTGTGGTGCAAGAAGCATATGAGCGTGGTCATCGGCTGTATCAGGTAATCTTAGGAGTTTGGGGTCTGCAGGTTCTATTGGGCTTTCTATTCCTCTGCTTCGTACAACTCGGGAAGCTATCACAGGATGGAAGAGTTTAACCCCTGAGAGGTCTCGAGTTCCACTTTCATGCTTTAGGCCAGCAGTTGTGGTGTTAACTTGTTTGGCTGCAGGGGCTCAGTGGCATGGATATCAGCGAAGGGTGTGGTGGTCAGTGGCCCTGGCCTTGTGGTCTGGTTTTGTTTGTCTTCTTCAGCCTGGTGAACTATTGAACCTCTGAAGACAAGACGTTTGTTTCCCTGAAGAGGAAGGTGGTGAGTCCCACAGCCTAGGTGCGGTGGTCATTGTTCGGAAACCCAAAAATCGTCGTATCTGGCGTCAGCAGTTTGTCCTTTGTCGAGACCCTCGTTTGGTTAGATGGTCAATTACCATGGTGGGTAGCAGATGCCCCAGGCAAGACCGTGCTCTTTAGAATATCCAGATATGTTTGCAGAAGAAGTTTGCAGATGTTTTAGCTAGCTTGGATTTGGACGACTGCAGTTACACGTTGGGATCCTTGCGAGCTGGTGAAGCTACAGACTTCTTCCAACACACTAGGAATCTAGGTGAGCTTCAGTATCAGGGAAGATGGACAGCAGCCTCAACTTTGCAATATTATCTCATGGAAGCCTTTTCTGCTTTGGTACTTCTAGAGAAGCGCGTGAGAAATTGAAAAGCGTTCATACCTTGAAGTTGTTGGAACACCCCCCGAAATTTGATGCTCAAGAACTTTACCGGCGGGTGACATGAATCGCCTCTCTCGTGCCTTGAGGGAGCTTGCTGACGCTTTGGGCAGTGCTGAGCGTGAGGAGCCCAGGAGTGAGCAGTCCTGGTTTTGCCAACATCTCCTGCTTTGTCTCAGAGGGGCGTCCAAGCGGCCAGTGCAAGTGTTGGTGCCGCGTCCACGCCAATTCAGTCCAAGCAGAAGGCTGAAGAGAAATCTGGGAAGAAGGGCCCGACAGGACTAACGTGGCCTACCACGGTGATCATCATTGCTACGTGATCATGGTTCATCCGCGTGGTCTTGTGAGCTTTGGGGGACCTGGTGCCAGCACATGGCGCCGAATCGAAGAGACCCTTCCAAACCAGCGTCTCGCCGGCAAGGCTCCGGAGGGTGAAAGACTTCGAGGAAGTAGCAATGATTTGGGCAAAATTTCCGGGTCTGAAGCCGATGCCTCAGCCGGCGCTGTGAGTTCAGAAAGGGATTCAGCTTCAGGAAATTTGGCAGTGGATGCAGTCCGCCGGTGTAGATGAATGTGGTTGCCCTAGGCCTCAGCCTCAGCCTTGATGAGGCCTTAGAGGATCCAGAAACTCGCGACCTAGTTGGGTGAACCGCCTCACTGGCGGCGAAAGTCTGACAGCTGCGGAAGCGCTGCCGCTGAGCCCAGCGGCTTGGGAAGTGAAGCTCCAACTACATGCATGAATGGCTTTTTCAGCAAGATACGAAAAGCCCCACCTAACAGCCATGTTGATCACTGTCCTGGTCAGGCTGGTGTTCCGAGCTTCAGTGGCATTGTTCAGTCGTGTGATGACTGAGGTAGGTCGGGAGCTGCAAGGCCTCCTACCTGCACCTGTCCTTCTCCACCCTCCTCGCCCTGGGACTTTCTCACCTGCATCCTCTTCCTGGTGGATCTCACTCTTCTTCGCCGCCTGGGGTGGGGCGGGAGTTTGAGGAGATCTTTGTTATGCATGTTTTGATGTGGCCCCGGCGAAGTCAGGCTTTTCCCACTACAAGAAACAAACCGATGTGTGCCAGCCAGAAAATGAATGAGACAAATGAATGAAGGTGGATTCATGCGTGAATGTGAACACTTGTGATCCAAACTTTGTGACCAAGTGAAACCGTCCACCGCCCCGCCACCAACCATCTTTCTTCCGGTGGGAGTTTGAGGAGATCTTTGTTATGCATGTTTTGATGTGGCCCCGGCGAAGTCAGGCTTTTCCCACTACAAGAAACAAACCGATGTGTGCCAGCCAGAAAATGAATGAGACAAATGAATGAAGGTGGATTCATGCGTGAATGTGAACACTTGTGATCCAAACTTTGTGACCAAGTGAAACCGTCCACCGCCCCGCCACCAACCATCTTTCTTCCGGTGGGAGTTTGAGGAGATCTTTGTTATGCATGTTTTGATGTGGCCCCGGCGAAGTCAGGCTTTTCCCACTACAAGAAACAAACCGATGTGTGCCAGCCAGAAAATGAATGAGACAAATGAATGAAGGTGGATTCATGCGTGAATGTGAACACTTGTGATCCAAACTTTGTGACCAAGTGAAACCGTCCACCGCCCCGCCACCAACCATCTTTCTTCCGGTGGGAGTTTGAGGAGATCTATGTTCTGCATGTTTTGATGTGGCACCTGCGAAGTCAGGCTTTTCCCACTACAAGAAACAAACCGATTTGTGCCAGCCAGAAAGGATGAGCGCACCTGTCCAGGGCGCCAGTTTGAATGAGACAAATGAATATATTTTATAACCTATGTTTATTTTCAGATGTGAAGCCAGTGGTTGTTTTTTTGACGGAATGGGAACATAACCAACATCAACCCTCTCTGAGTGCCGCTACGTTTTTGCGGTTAGAACATCTCAGTTCAGGGTGGAAATCTCCATGGCCCCCCTGGATACCCCCAATTTTTGTTGGGGTCTGTAAAATTCCAGTGATCGATCTTACTGGATTGACCATGGTGTTTCACCCAAACATACATGGATTGATTAATCCCATCA